TCTCTCTCTCTCTCTCTCTCTCTCTCTCTCTCTCACACACACACACACACACACACACACACACACACACACACACACTCACACAAAAACAAGTAAGGCAATGTATATTCCCACGCTATAGCGCCAGATTCATTCGATTTTGCTCATCCTAGCAAGGGCGCAGTACCATGAGGCCAGCCGCGACGAGAGAGAGAGAGAGAGAGAGAGAGAGAGAGGCAGCGACCTCTCCGTGCCTCTCTCTCTCTCTCTCTCTCACACACACACACACACACACACACAAAAAAAAAAACAAAACAAGTAAGGCAAGGTATATTCCCACGCTATAGCGCCAGATTCATTCGATTTTGCTCATCCTATCGAGGGCGCAGTACCATGAGGCCAGCCGCGACGAGAGAGAGAGAGAGAGAGAGAGAGAGAGAGAGAGAGAGAGTGGCGGCGACCTGCATGGAGGGTCGCGCCCTCTCTCTCTCTCTCTCTCACTACTTCAACTTTTTGTCCGTTCGTTTTTTTTTGGGTTTGTGTATTTGTTTTTTTTTTTTCCTTCTTTCTTTTTTTTTTGTTTTCTCAAAGTGTGTCGTTCCTAGGGAAGCGGAGCGCGGCCTTCGTGCGGCGACCGGCCCTTCCCTTGGCCGACCCCCCTAGGGCTGGGGCGTGTATACAGGGGTGCCGGCGGCCTATAGCTGAGCGACGTACTGGTGGTTTAAAAAAACGGAAGGAAAAAAAGAAAAAAAAAAGTCGGTGCCCTTTTAAAAAAACGGGAAAAAGTCGGTGCCCTTTTAAACAAGGAACAGCGTCGTCGCCAAAAGAAGTGGCCCAGTCCGACTAGCAGCGTTGAGCTACCTCAATGCCTGAATCTGGACGTGTCTGTGGTGACGTGAAGTTCAGGAAACTCGACACCATTTCTGCACATCACAGCAAAAGCGTCCTGGACATCACAGCAAAAGCGTCCAGATTCAGGCATGGAGGTAGCTCAACGCTGCCAGTGGGACTTTTTTTTTTTTTTTTTTTTTTTTTGCCAGTGGGACTTGGCCCCAGCCAGTTCCACTATTATTATATCTTTAAAAAAAATCGTGGAAAAAAAAAAAAAAAAAAAAGAATTCGGGCTTCAGACCTGTACTTCCCAGTCCGAACTCCTCTTCCGATTTGGGTTCGATACTTTTTGTCTTTTCTTTTTTTTTCTTTTTTTTTCTTTTTTTTTCTTTTTTTTTAACTGCACTTTTTGTCTTTTCCGTTCGCATTCGGATTGGACAATTTTTTTTTTTTTTTTTTTTTGGAAGAAATGTATCATGTATTTCAAATATGGAAATAGAGGGACACTTTTTATTTCCGGTTCGGATCTGGGTTCGAGATTTTCTACAGCTCCTTTTCTTTTTTTTTTTTCTTTTTTCTTTTTTTAAAGATCCTCATTAGATTGGCTCCCTGAGCGAGTTAAGAGTTCAATAATAAAGCGAAACTTTTCTTTATCCCAAAAAAAAAAAAAAAAAAAAATCGAAAGGTTTTTTTTTTTTTTTTTTTTTTTTTCAGTTTGAACATCGATTCCTGCCCTTCCTTCTGCCCTCAGGGGGGTAAGCACCCCTGTGGATAGAAGGTGGGATCCTTTCCGATGGCTCCTTTCTATTTGTGGGGAGCTGCACCTGCCGGAAACCGGGTCCAGCGTCCCAAACATTCGTATTTGAACAGAGATTTTGAGATCCTACCCTCTGAACGAGGTTGTACCCGTACTTGGACCTCTTCACCATACTGGCGCCATATTAGCTTACTTCCTAGTCCATGGGTACTAGCTGACTGCTAGTCTAACTTAATAGCTTTCTGTCTTGTTTCATACTGGGCAGATGAAGCCCTGATAAGTTGGTAGAGCCTGAAGAGTTGAGGAGTTCATTCCACAGGCATTGTCGAAGCATGTCTCCATCCCCTAAACCCAGGTACCGTAGCACCTGCCCCTGACAATTCAGGGCGGCCTGGGGCCCATCAACCAAGGTTCTAACATAATGCCTGAGGACTTGACTTTCAAAAATCTGACGCTCTGAACCCAAGTTCTGAAAAACTGATCCCTGGCTGCTCTCTTGGAGCGGGCTCTTCGAGTTTTTCTCCAGAATAGCGCTCGGATTACAGAATAGCGCTCGGATTCACCATGCAGAACAGCGCTCCGATTCACCATGCAGAACATCTCCCCCTTTTTTTTTTCCCCCCAATCAAGCGGGACATCCGGCCTCGCTCTACTACTCACCACATGTGCAAAATGAGAATGAATCTTCCGCTATAACATGGAAAGATACACCACCATATTTTTTTCTCTTTTATGCATGTGGTGAGAAGTGAAGCGACTTCCATCATTTTTATCATTATTATTTTTATTTTTATAATAACGCCCAGGTTGCTCCCCTAGGGCGAGGTCCCACCAGCAACGGGATAGGATAGAACCGAGTTTGTGGGGCAGTTGAGTGACCCAAATCCTGCCGTGCACTAATCGTGATCCCACCGTCAGTATTTTACTTGTATTTGACTTGTATTTTATTACCCGAAAAAGTCAGGAGATCTTCGTTCCCCTCCTCCTCTCCTTAACACTGGGCATGCCCGAGCAAAGACAGCTTCCCGCCAGAATCTTTTCAATCGGTTCGGGGTGTGGCCAACCCCAAACGAGGTTGGGGTCGGCCTTAGCCCACTGGATAGAAGATTTTCAGCAGTCCTCACAGTCTACCCGGAGTACCGCAACCAAGTTTGCTGAGGAGGGTGTCAGGATCACTGCTGACAGAAGTCAGGTTTATTGCAGAAAATGTGGCAGTTACTTTGTCAGGATCACTGTTGTGGGACCACCACCATCAGATCATTTGTGATCTGGTGGCTGGGAAGCACTCTGCCCTGATTTCCGGTGGGAGGTCTCTGTTTCTTTTTTTTTCTTTTTTCTTTGTTTTTCTTTTTTTTCTTTCTCCTGTTTTCTCAGCCCAGGGGTCTAGTCCCACCTACAGCGTTGAGTTTTCTCAACGCTGAGCTTTCTATCACGTGCGGCATGGTGGGACGGAGCTCTGCCGTTGATGTATTGCGAATCTAACGGTACCAAAATACAGGAGAATAACCTATTAGATTTAGTCATTTTGTAGAATTTTTTTCGACGTGAAATCCGTTTTGTAGTATGCGTTGGCCCTTTTGGTTTGGGCGGGAAGCCATTTTCCGTTGAGAAAACTACCCTACCGAGGGTAGGGTACATTTCTCAACTTCAGTGCCTTTCCTTTTTTTTGTTTTCTAAGTCCTCATTGCATCCTGAAACGGAGGAACTCTGACAGCTGTGTTTGGCTGTCTGGCATCCAACTCGTTTCCTTCTTTGGGCAATGAATGCATTTGGCCATCCACGTCGTCCCTGTCCATTTTACAAATGGTGACCTCCTGTCCCCTCACCACGGGGAGTATCCTTTTTTCACGGAGACGTTCACTCCGACTGTTCCAGACATGTTTCATTTTTCGGAGTTACGTTATAAAAAATAAGGAGAAAAGCTGTTTCTAGCATTTTTTTCAGTTTTTTTATTTCTTGTTTCGAATATTTTAATGTCGAAATGGCGTCACACCGTTGAGTTTTCTGAACTCAACAACCGTAGGTGGGACCAGACCCCAGAAATTCGTAATGATTAAAAAAGAAAAGAAAAGAAAAAAATTCGTAATGAACTTCTCTGGCCGCTGCCACTCAGTGTCACACTGGATCGGCCACACTCCTATCCGACTAATACCTTCTTCCCCCGAATACAACGTACGGTCATTATAGCTGTATTTGAGGCATCTTTCAGTCTAGATACAGCTATATGACCGTACGTTGTATTCGGGGGAAGAAGGTAATGGGACCTCGCCCCTAAAGTGTACTACCCTCCTCACAGTAGAACATCCATCCCGGCATCTACAGGCAACAATTTTTTATTATATTTTTATTCATTTATTATTTTAATCCGTGTCCATGCTATTTTCTCTCGATTAATTATATATAAAAAAAAGGGGTAACACGGAATGACCCGAGGCCAAGTCCCACTAGCAGCGTTGAGCTACCTCAACGCCTGAATCTGGACGTGTTTGTGGAGAGGTGCAGTTCAGGAAACTCGACACCATTTCTGCACATCTCGGCAAAAGCGTCCAGATTCAGGCGTTGAGGTAGCTCAACGCTGCTAGTGGGGGACTTGGTCTCTGAGGCCAACCAGTTCGACGACAATACCTCACAAGGCCGTCAAGGGCCAAGTCCCACTAGCAGCGTTGAGCTACCTCAAAGCCTGAATCTGGACGTGTTTGTGGAGACGTGCAGTTCAGGAAACTCGACACCATTTCTGCACATCTCCGCAAACGCGTCCAGATTCAGGCGTTGAGGTAGCTCAACGCTGCAAGTGGGACTTGGCCCCAGGCCGTCACCCCAACGGGCCCCAAAAAAAAAWGAAAAAAAAAAAAAAAAAAGCCACCATGCCTCCGAACACGTCCATCTTCTCGAACACGTGTCTTCCAAGCTACAAACAATTACACAGCATCCCACGTGTCCATCGTCTCAGCACGACACCTGTCCATTTTCTCCCCATAAGACGACCAGGATGAACGACAGATGTCCATCTTGTCGCCCCCTGTCGGATGAAGATCCCTCCCTTATATAAGGGGAAAAAAAAAAAAAAAAAAAGCCGGCGTATATCGAGAACAAGCCGAAGCCCTCTCCCCTCGCTCTCAGCACTTGCCCTCGTCCTCCTCCTCCTCCTCCTCCTCCTCCTCCTCCTCATACATCATCAAAGCTCTCGCTCATATGCTTCCATCAATATCCTCATCATCCCCATCATCATCATCAACAACGCTCTGGTTGATATGCCATCATCATCATCATCATCATCATCATCATCATCATCATCATCTTCATCTGGTTGATATGCCATCATCATCATCATCATCATCTTCATCTGGTTGATATGCCATCATCATCATCATCATCATCATCATCATCATCATCACCATATCATCATCACCATCACTAGGCATTCGATTAGCAATCTAGGCGAAGAAGAACACAGCGAGATTACGAGGTGTCCCGGCACATTGCGCGATTACGACGCTCGTATTCGAACCTCAGGACGCTTTTTGGACTTTATCTTCATCTCTTGTGATTGAGAAATGAGAGATCCACCTTCTTCTTTCTCTCTCCTGATACTATAATTGGGTCATCATCATCATCATCATCACCACCACCACGACCACAATCATCATCATCGTCATCATCATCAATGCTCTGCTGATACGCTACTATCATCATCCGACTCACATCAAAGCAGCGCCGACTGCTATGCTACAGTCGAAGACGGAGAATCGAACACTCGTACTCTTCTATCCTCCTCCTCTTTTATCCTCATTCTTCTCGAGTCCCCTTCTCGATTCTTATTGATCATCCGAACGACCAAAGTTTTTTTTTTTTTTTTTTTTTTTTTTTTTTTCGTTTCCCCGCGCGAGGTGAGAGCACCTATAGCAGAGGGCCTGAGCGCAAAGATGCGGACAGAGATGAGAAGAAGAGGAAACTTCGTTTGAAACTTCGCCTGAAATTTCGTTGGATTTTTTTTATTTTTTATTTTTTGTGTCATCCTTGCGCAAGGGCCATGCTAATCTTCTCAACCTTACTCAAACTCCCTTTTCGATGTGAGCGTGTCATCCAAATTTCATGGAAAATTTCAGATGCCCCTCTCTCTCTCTCTCTCGCGGAAAAGGAGGAGAAGCAGGAGGGCGAAGAAGTACGAGGAGGAGGAGGCGGAGGAGAAGAAGAGGAAGGAGTAGGAAAAGCACGAGGAGGAGGAGGAGGAGGAGGAGGAGGAGAAAGGAGAGGGAGGAGGAGGAAGAAGAAGAGCAGGAGAAGGAGGAGGAGGAGGAGGAGGAGAGGGAGATAAAGGAAAAGGAGGAGGAAAAGGACAAGGAGAAAAGGAGAAAGTGGAGGAGGAGGAGGAGGAGGAGGAGGAAGAGGAGAATAAGAAAGGGGAGGAGGAGGAGGAGGAGGAGAAAGTACAGGAGAAGGCAGAGAAACAGGACGAGGAGGAGGTGGAAGAGGAGGAGGTTGAGGAGGAGGAGGTGGCATTCACCCGCAGGATGCCTAGCCCGTAGACAGAGAGAAGACGAGGTGAAGTCGGAGGTGACCCAGGAGAAGCCGACAAAATTATTAAAAAAAACAAAAACAAAAAAAAAACAGAGAGAAGACGAGGAGAATCAGGAGGCCACCCAGGAGAAAGCGGACATGAAAAAAAAAAGAAAAAAAAAAGAAAAAAAAGAAGAAGAAGAAGAAGAAGAAGAAGAAGAAGGAGGAGGAGGAGATGCCGAGAGAATTGGAAAAGGAGATGAAGCGCAAGCGTAAGGAGAAAGGTGGAAGAAGAGAGAGCCGGACGACACTCACAGCAAAATTTCCTGCAGTGAATCTGATCGTAATTGTCGCTGGGTACAGCTGACAATCTCCCAAGTTCAAATCCGCTCAAAGCCGACGATGTGCCGCTGCTGACAAGCTTACACTGGAAGTCCAACCACAATCCGGCGCATTCACACTTGGCACTTTCCACCGCATTTGTGCCCGTCCTCGTCTGCATCTGCGCCGGCGTCCGTCCAGAAAAATAAGTAATAAAGGTGCGAGTGTGAGTGTGAGGGCATGCTCACTCTGCCCTCACACTCCGACTTTTTTTTACTTATTTCGGGACGGAATTGCGGCCAGTTGCGTCCAGGTAAGGGCCTACATGCGGTGCGGTCGTTGCCAGACAGATTCGGTTTAAGAGAGTGGTGGTGTGAGTACGCCCGGAGTCTGGGCCTCGCTGCACTACGATAGACACATTAAATTTTATTTATTTATTTATTTATTTATTTATTTATTTATTTTTGGAGCATAACAAATTCATCCATTAATAGAGACAGGGGTCCGGGTACACACCCCAACGATACAACCCCCCGGTACAGCACATGCTCGGGCCTTTACCCAGCTATGGCCTCCTGGAAACGGGGTCCAGTGTCCCTATATCGAAAGAAACTTCGACAAAGGCAAAAGAAAGGGAGAGTCCTTCGGGACATCCGTAAAAATTGGAACGATACAGAGAAGATTAGCATGGCCCCTGCGCAAGAATGACACGCATAAATCGAGAAATGGTCCAAATTAAAAAAAAAAAAAAAAGAAAGGGAGAGCCTCTTACAAGGCAAGTCTTCTGAAAAATGTCTGAAAGCTTGCTGGGCAGGACACCCAGTTCCTACTGCCAGGTCATCTACTGATTTGACTCAGGGAGGGGAGCTACAGCGCTTCCCATGACCAGCTGGGGTAAGGAGCCAGGGCGAGAAGCATAGCCTGCCTTCCGTAGTAATCTTCACTAGTCTGGACTCCATGCCCCAAGTGTCCCATAACCATTTCCTAACTCCAGAGTATCTGCCTCTGTTCAGTCTGTGAAGCCAATCACTCCCAATAGTAGTTATAATCTGCCGTGTGACTGTGTTCTTGATAGTGTTCTCAGATTTAACTTTCTGCTTGAAGAGTTTATCATTTTTTATCATCCCAAATGACCTTCATAATGATGGCCCGAGTGGCCTGAGAAACATAGCGCCTGAGACACATGAAAATTTTCAAGTGGTCATAGAGCGCTGTCAGACTCCTGGATTGGCATCGAGTGCTGTTGTCGCTGCACTTACTCCGCACTCTCGAGGTTTGTGAGCATTCTTGACTGTGGGACACACACTACACGGCAGGGCAGCGACGATTTGTCCACCGAGACCGGAGGCCAACTCTCAATTTTTTTTAATATTATTATTATTATTATTATTATTATTATTATTATTGTTATGTTCTTCTCTCAATTTCACCTCACACTACCTACCTATTTACCACTACTCCTAATTGTAGGCATGCAGGGAACCCCGTAGCAGCCAGAACTGTGTTGACGAGAGAACATGCGGGGGCTGCTCCCGACCTGCAGGTGGGCAATACCGGCTAGAGGACAGCGGGTAGCATCAGGGACCATGCCAACAGGACCAATCCCTGTGCCTCCCCTCAAACCGCATGAAGGGACCCGTCGGCCTCGTTTGAAAAAAAGACTCCTGCAGGCGGGAACTGTGGAAACTTCACGAGCTCGCCCGATGGGCCATTTCTGATACCGCTTGATGCGCCGGACCAAGAGCAGTTTTCCACACTTAGTGCAGCGACGTTTTGGAGAGTGAATCTGACAGATCTTGAATAGAAATCCAGGACAGGGCATCAGGAGTAAGGGCCTCGCCACACCACTGTCGAAACCAAGAACGTTCAAACGCATCTTCCCCAACAAGTGGCCAGATGCATCTGATGCCATTCCTAGGAGCAGATGCATCTTGCCACTTTCTGTGGGAACATGCATTTGAACGTTTTTCGTTTCTACAGTGGTGTGGCGAGGCCCTAAGTGCCGCGGTGAAGAACTCTTGACTTTTCAAGATTCAAGAGTAGTGCAGCGAGGCCCTATGGGTCTCGCTCCATTACACTAGAGTCTAGGGCCCTAGGCACACCACTGTAGAAATGCGAAAAAGACAAAATGTTGGCAGGCGCATCTGGTCATGTTCTAGCGGGAAGTTCATTCTCAATTTGCACATTTCGAGAGTGGTGTGGGCCGTGTGGCGACGCCCGAGAACATAGGGGGCCTCGCTGCACTACTCCCGAAATGTGCAAAACGAGAGTGAATCTTCTGCTAGAATATGGAAAGATACATAGCCATGATTTTTGTCTATTGTGCATGTCCAGAGTAGTGCAGCGAGGCCACACCACTGTCGAAAATGCGATTTTCGACAGTTTCTCTTCGCCACACAGGCCCTAGTTGCACTACTGGCCATCCGCCAAGATTTCGAATGCATCTGGACAAACAGGATGTCCACATGCAATCAAAATGTTGGCGGATGGCAAGTAGTGCAAAGAGGCCACAGGCTGTCGAAGTCGGGGACGGGAAGAAAGGGCCTCGTTCCACTACTCACCATCCGCCACGCATGGCAGATGCGACTTCGTTCCACTGCATCGCCAATAGCCACGAAATGGACGCTGTCAGAATTTGGGTCTGAAATCACTTGGCGATGTGTCGCCAAGGCTTTCCGTTTCCCCTGCCTGCAACGGCCCTTCGTGGAGGGCGCTACTCCTCACCCCTCCACGAAATGCTTGGTGTGGCCATTGCCGGCCATTGCCGGCCATTGCCGCTGACACAGCCGTCCTGACAGTAGACCTGTGTTGTCCCCTAGTGTTGGCGAGTTTTCGCTGCACCTGGAGTGATTCCCGTCCGAGTACATGGTGAAGAGAAGGCGGTCACGGTTCCATTAGCTCGCCATCCGCCACAGTCCGGGGAGCAGGCGTGGACAGCAACCACAGCGCACGTGGCGTCGGCGATGTAATGGAATGAAGAGCCGTTTTCCACCAGAAAAATGCACTTTTCGGCCTCGCCACGCTGGACCCGTTTTCCAGCAGGTGATGCTCCCCACTAATAGATGGAGCCTCTCCCCAGGTGTTAGTGGTGTCTGCTCTTACCAGCAGCACTAACACCGGTGGGGGTGTGTTTAAAAAAAA